GGCGAATTTTCTCCTAACATCGTCCAATTTATTTCAAAAACAGTCTATTGCTGCGCAATTTGACGGAATGTTTAGACAGTATGCAAGGTTTATTCCGTTCATCTAAAAATAAATGTTGACTTTTCCGGATCCAAGAATCTGAGTTAGTTGTAAAAAAATAATTTATTCGTAACTTAAAGCATAACAAGTGTGTCTTTACCTGCGTTTTTTTTCTCTTGCGCTCGTAACTGTCTTAATAAAATGACAAAGTCTACTCTTAGTCATCGCTTTTTTGCTCATCACTGATGCAGCTAATAATTTCTCCTTCTTTCTCTACTTAAGGCTATTCTCATCCAAGCAGCAGTTCATGCGGATCTTAGCATCACATTTGCGCTTTTTGTACGTTGTTTTACCATGGGGTGGATGCCGTTCAATAAACTGTTTTGTTCAACTGTTGTCTCTCATTCTTGTAGTATGATCAACTTAATTCTTCTTTCTAACGGGCGCTTCTTTGATAAAACAGTCAAGTTCCGATCGAAAGTGCAGTATTTTACTGGAAATATGCTGCAACTTGCTGACATCTTAACATGTAACGGCTAGGCTGCTCGTTCAGTCATGGCTAAAATTTTCTCCTCGTCAACAGTCTGCGCTTCACTCTACACAACAGAAATGGTAAAAAAACTGTGAAAATAAAAATATCACTTTCGTTTTCGCGCAAAAATTGAAAAACATAAAGACCAACTTCCGCTATTTGTGCTTGCATTGTATCATCCTGGCGAGTGTTTTCAGCTTCCTGTGACAGTGTTTTCACTTTCATTTCCAGGCGAGATATTTGCGCTGACAAATCCGAGTTCTCTTTTATTAATGCAGCATTCTCCTCCAGAGCCTAAATTCAGGCTCACTGAACCACAAATAAACATTTTTCCGACTTGTTGCAATTTTTTTTCAAAAAAAAGTTGCAATTTTTTTTCCAACCTGTTGCATTTTTTTTTTCAATTTTTTCCACTGAAAAATGTTACCCTTTCGGCAATCGCTTTGTCTTTTTTGGCTGTTAACTGTTCCTCACGCAATGATCGTTTTGTCGCAGCAATATCTTCCTAGAAAAGTAATAAGTAATTTATTAATGCGTTGTTGTTCTAGATTTGCGACTTGAGAAGAACTAGGAGTTTACCGTTGAAAATCAACTAAAACTTCAAACGTGGTGTGCTATAGACGTGCAGTGTACAAGAACGAAGCCATTATTAGCTAAGCAAAATGAAGAATTTGGGAAACACAAATCAGAGTGTAAATTAATCTTTGATTCCTCTATTTGCTTCGCTCCTATTCATAAGCTCAGGTTTGCTTTAATTATCAAATAACGATTAGATTTGTTTAGCTTTTTTTGTAAAAAGTTCGACTCAAATTTGAGCAAGTACTGTTGAACTAAACTTTATGAAGTGTTTTCTTTTTTTGAAAAACAATTAACCTTATCTGGTAAAACCAATGAGTTGAAAATATATATATTAATTTCATTAAAAATATTTCTTGCGACATTTCTTTTTCTTATAAACTCCTAATCGGTGAGGTACCTCATTGTGGTCAAAGATTGACAAATTTCGAGACGAGATGATGATGCTTAAGATGTACTACAGAGACATCTCCTAAAGCTAAAACCCCGCCAAAGTGCTCCTATTGAAAGAAGCGTTGAGCCGGCAAACCTATCACGAAATGAATGTGAAAGCCTGTATCACTAAAAGACTGGGGCGATGTACCACTGTTCAAATCAATTTTAAAAGTTTCGAATTCATAACTGAAGAATCAGCTTTGATCAAAATTTATCAAATTAAAGTATTTCTCACGACTAGCGACATTTCTTTGCTTTCCAGAGCTTCGATATTGGCCTCCAAACGATGGATTTTCTGTAGAAGCCGATCAGTATCGCTTCTTCGCCGTCCCTCTTCATTAGATAGTGCTAATTCTTCCCGACTTTTCTCTTCAACCTTCATCTGCAAAAAGTAATAAGCAATTTGATTGTTTTCGGGCTTAGTATCAAATCCTTGTGTTTATGCGAAGATTACTGGTTTTAGAAAATACTGGAGAAATTAGTTCTTTCATTTTACTTTTTCATGGTAAACTGGTACTGATACGCTACGCAGGCTGGTGCTGCGTAACGTATACTCTAGCCGGTGCTGGATACACTATGCAGACTTCAGACTAAAAGTATTTTCTGTTTATTTCACAAGCCATAAAAGAGAAAGCCACTGAGTAGCCCTCCTCATGGGGACTTTGGGTGAACGAATCATCTGGATAAACACGCCTATATGCTACAGTTCCTTAGGGTCAACGGCTTAAAAGATTTAGTGCTGGGCTTTTTCCCGTTCACAGCTTTATAAAGGTAGCAGCAAGAGTCCTTACAGTTAGAACTGATTTTCTGATAAAAAGTTTCCCGTCGTTTTTGAATTGTTTTGCAACTTTACCTGCAATTCATTCAGTTCATTTGTTGCATTACGCAATTTATCACGTAGCTCGTCTTTTTCGGTTTCAAGTTTTGCAATGTGCGACTCCTGAAATGGTAAACGAGTCTGGGGAATACGGTTCAAAAGTACTACTGCTGCTATACAAGTATAGATCCAGTAATAGAACCTTATCAGCCAATGCAGGTGTCAGATAGTCAAGCCTCCTCTGCAACTCCAGCGCTTCTTCCATCAACGCACGTTTATCACGCGTGAAACATTCTGAAATAAACTTTACTTTAGTATTTTGACTAATTCTAATTGGTGCTTCTGTCGTTACTTCATCAGAATTACCGTCATATTGACAAGGTCCACTCGCAATGTTGAATTAAGGCGTATATGGCTTAATGGATCGAAACGTCTTATCTCACTCTTGCCTGCTCTCCTATACTACTCTTCCTTTCTGAATTCCATCGCACCTTCGCCACCTGCGCTTCCAGGGTTTGACCCTGGATGCTGTAATCTGCTTACCAGATCAACCGCCATCTTGACAAAAATACTTGGCAAGGCTTTAGTCGTTTCAAGATGTCACCGGCCAGGACTGGGCATTAGCAACTTTTGTCGAAATCTACTGTTCCTAGACCATGTTAAAATAATCTTCCTACCAAAGCTTCTACAGCACAGCTGTAATCAAAACAGGAAACAGTTTCCTAAATGTTTCGCTCAAAATCATTGGAGAAGAAAGCCAAAATATGGATGAAAATATATTTGTGGACTTGATTGCAAACTAACATTTCCGATTTCTTTTTCCAGAATCCCAATACTGTAATAATTTAACAAATTGCTTCAAACCTTCATTTTTGTATAATTTAGCTTCCTGCTCTTGGATACGCTCCGACAGTTGGGAATTCTCATAAGCGATTCTCTCAATTTCAATCGTCTTTTGCTTCAAGCACTCCTCAAGTCTTCTTTCACGCTTCAAAACAAATAATTTTATCAACGACGTTACAAATTAATCAAAGACAAAAGTCAAAACTCCCTCTGTATGCGCTCTCTGTAATAGACGAAGGGATTCAGGAGGAAGGCTTAAAAGCGAGTTGAAGGCAGATAATACCTCCTGCAACATGCAACTGCGAATTTACCACCCAAACGAGCGAGCGAATCGTAGAGGGATTGGTTGTCACAGCAGTGGCGTCGAACTCTCTATCATCTGCGTGGTTTTTTATAAAATCGTGATTTTTTCACAAAACCAAATGAAATTGCAGGAACCTGATAGGATTCCTCAAGTTTTTGCAGCAATTCAGCTTGTTCAGTTAAATGATGCGACGGCCTTCGTTCTGGCCAATTCGAGGAAACTGGCGCATTTGTAACTTCAGGCTCTGCATAGGATACTTTTTTCCGGTTTGCTCCTTGTTTCGCTTGTTTTTCCCGGTCATATTCGGCCAAAATCCCGCTCTTGAATGATTTGTGTCGTGTTGGCGGCTCTGGCTTTGTTGAGGGACCAGGTGATGGAGATTGAGACTCGCGTCGTCGCTCGGTTTCGTCATCACTACTATGTGGGGCATTTCCAGTACCATGTTTCCTACA